AACCGCTTTCAGTGCCTAGAAGATTGCAATGCAGTGGACGATATGAACAATGCCAATCTCGAGGAAACTGTCCATGCGGTCGGAGCTAAGTTCTGCAAGACCCGCCGCAGAAGAACACAAAAATTCTCCGATCACACTCTTAATCTCATGGCTGTTAGACGGGAGATGAGGCTGCAATCGTCAACAGGTTTGACAGCATACAGGCAACTGAACAGACAGATCTCCAAATGCATGCGGCAAGACTTACGCAACTTTAATACTGCTCGTATTAAAGAAGCGATCGAGCGGAACCAGGGCTCCAAAGTCTTTGCCAGAGATCTGTCTGCCAGAAAGAGCCAACTGTCGAAGCTGAAGACTGGGACCTGAGATTTTGAGTGAGATTGAGAGGTTCTATGGGCAGCTGTACACATCATCGTTGGTGCCACACTCAAGTGTAAGTAACGATAGAAGAGCAAGTCTTACCCGACACTACTCCGATGATATCCCGGACGTCAGTCTGACCGAGATTAGAATGGCTCTCCAGCACCTTAAAAACGGCAGGGCCCCAGGCGAGGATGGAATTACAGCGGAGCTTCCGAAAGCGGGTGGAACACCGGTACTTGAAGTCCTTCAGAGGCTCTTCAATTCCGTCCTCCATGGTGGCGCTACTCCAGAGGCGTGGAGCAGAAGTGCGGTGGTCTTGTTCTTTAAGAAAGCGACAAGTTCTCTTCAAGAACAGAGATTTAACAAGTTCAAGTGCTGTTTTCGAGAGTCATTACGAATCGTCTCGCACGCAGACTCGACGACTTCCAGCCTCCCGAACAAGCCGATTCCCGAAAAAGCTTCAGTACCATAGACCACATACATACCCTGCGGCAGATTGTACAGAAGACCGAAGAGTACAATCTGCCACTTTGCCTGGCGTATGTGGACTATGAGAAAGCCTTTGATTCCATCGAAATTTGGGCGGTGCTATAGAAATGAGGATATCCGCAGTAAAACCAGAGTGACCGACATAGCCCAACGGATTAGTAAGCTGAAGTGGCAATGGGCCGGCCATATAGGAAGAACCGATAACCGATGGTGAAGAAAGGTTCTCGAGTGGCAGCCTCGTACTGGTAGGCGTAGTGTAGGGCGACCACCCACTAGATGGAGTGACGACCTGATAAGACATGCAGGAAGTCGATGGATGCAGGTGGCTCAGGACCGTGCTTTGTGGCATTGCTTGGGGGAGGCCTATGTTCAGCAGTGGACTTGTGAAGGGCTGTAATGATGATGATGATGATTAAATAAAAAGTTTCTAATTCTGTTTTAAATTATTTTAATAAAATGAGTAACTAACGGTAACTATTAAAAATAGGAACTTCAAAATATATGACGTAATAACTTACTATATTAATGGTGGTCCAACTACCCAACTATGAGTCGTATCGTTACAAAACTTGTTTTATACATCACGTATCTTCTTCACCTGCTAACAATTTACTGCTGCACGTGGACGGCTCTCTTTATCAAATATATTTAAATGTGTTCGACTGGGCAAATATTACTCTACGGGTATCGTAAGAGGCGAACTGAGGGATACAAATCAGGAGATGAGCAGCAGCATCTTTCTAATAACGATTAAAAAAACTACGGTTGCTAACCCGCTTGCCAGCGTGGCAGCTGTGGCAAATATCCCCTGCTATGAGGTAATCTATGGGGGAGGCCTATGTTCAGCAGTGGACTTTAATGGGCTGTAACCTTGTAACGGATTTGACAAATAAAATTGTTTGTCAATGAAAATGTCATTATACCTGATAGATCAAACCGTCTCAACGCAATTAAGTTATTTTCGTTCGCAACAATACGTTTCATATGAAAATATATGTAAGTCGTTATTCCCCGCGCCGACGACAGTTTAAATAGACAAGGTTACCTGAAGAACGTTCCCATTGAACGCGATTCTGCACGTGTACGTGATTTTCGATAGTACAAGAGGGTGTGATTTTAATAAAAATATTACTTATATAAAACTCTGATATTAGTAGACGTATTTTTATTTTTTTATAATGATTTCTTATCACATATACATGTACACTTACTACTAAACTACTACTACTAAAATAGTTATAGTCAATGTGTAGTACATTGAATATAATTTTCTTTACGCGGGCAACTCCCCCCCCCTGACATCCAAAAATAAAGAAAAATCCATAAAAATAGTTTTATTAATTACATTCTTCCATAAAAAATACTTCATCCCACATAGAGATTTTCTCTTGAATTGTGGAGGCAGTTCTAAATAAATAAAATAATATATAAAATAAAATAATTTAAAGTAAAGTAAAGTAAAGTTAAGTATACTATTGAGAGGGTTTTGTGTTTAAATAAAATAAAATAATTTATTTTCTTCACAAAACTTAAATTAATTACATAGTTGATTGGGATCTCCATTTAAGCAAGTAATACCTGTGTTTATAAATCCGGCTCTTCCTTATCTAAACATACATTTTTAATTAAAAAAACAAAAATGACAAAAACTGATTACTCTATTTTAACAAACAAAATTTACAAAAATTATAAAAGTATGTGTGTGTGTGTGTGTGTGTGTGTGTGTGTGTGCGTGTGTGTGTGTGTTGTGTGTTTGTGGGGGGGGGGGGGGGGGGGATGTACAGAAATAATTATTTTGTTATATTATATTGACTCATGAAATGAAAAAGCAGATTACTTATGCCAGCTTCGTTTTCACTAACGACCCGCTACACTGTGCAGAAAAGATACAAAAATAATTAATAGGATCGAGCTTTACTTTGCGGAAATGCACTATATTAAAGGTGTTTAGGGTCCACGTAATAAAATAAAATGATGTGCTCACCTAGTTTAGAGAGCACCTCCCGCTCTCTTTCGATTGCGTGCACCGTCCCCGTCACCACTAATCCCAGCACCACTACTCTCAACACCACTGCACTAGGAACGTCACACCACCGACGATAATATGACCCGTGTTTCGCCTCTGAACAAGGCATCCTCCGGTGAAGTACACTGCGATGGGTGACCACTAAGTCAAAAATCATAAATGACGCAAAATACTGATTTAATACATACAACGGCTTAATTGGTTAGTCGTTGAACGAACTGTTTGTAATAAGGTTACTACGCTTTTTCAATGCATTTTTTTGTCCATAAATAGGTTGGAACGGCCAAGGGGAAGCTACACAGCCCTGTCTGATACCTTTTTGGATGCCAAACCAGTCCGAGTAGACCCCATTGATCCTGACACAAGCACTAGAGTCCCTATAAAGAGACCTTAATGCCTGTATCAAACCAGCGCTCAACCCATACGAGTTCAGTGTTTGCCATAACACATTCCTGTCCACTCTGTCATAAGCCTTTTCCAAGTCCATGAACGCACAAAAAACTTTCTGATTTTTGGCCAAAAACTTCTCCGCAATCATGCGCATGGAAAAGACTTGATCTGTACACCCCATTCCCTTTCTAAAACCCGCTTGCACATCCCAAATTTTTCCATCAGTTTCTTTCATAACTCTTTCAATTAACACCTTAGCATACAGTTTACCCACAATACTAAGCAAACTGATACCACGGTAGTTTTTGCAGTCCTGCTGTGACCCTTTTCCTTGGGAAAAAGGAAAAGGGTCCTTTATTATAAGGGTCCAAAAGGTAAAATAGATGTCACGGGGGTTTTACAAATCAGTGTAAATTCCGTGTTGAAATGAAAATACCAAACTAAGGGAGTTTTATTGCGGTCAATTAGATATTTCTTAATTTATAATAATTTTTTTTTATAAACACTCATGCCTCTCACCCAAAGGGGTAGGCAGAGACTACGGACTTCCATTTGGCACGATCCTGACATACCTCTTTCGCTTCCTTTACATCCATATATCTACGCATACATGCTCGTCGGTTAAGGGTACTTCTAACGTGGCCCCTTTTCAAAATATCGCCAATTTGGTCGATAAACTTTTTTCTAGGGCGTCCCTTCCCGACTCGGCCGTTCACATCTGCCATATAAATTTGCTTTGTCACTCTTTCCCCATTCTTTCTTTCTACATGACCAAACCACCGAAGCATTCCTTTCTTAATCCTGGTCACAACATCATCTTGCATACCACATTTATCTCTTATCACGCAATTTCTCACCCTGTCATTCAGATTCAACCCTAGCATACCTACTCCTTAAAGACCGCATTTCTACAGCATTTATTCTACTGTCGTGCTTCTTCTGCCACACCCAGCTTTCACCACCATACATTAAAGTAGAGACTAACACAGCATTATGAATTACCATACGTGCCTTTTTTGACACATTCTGGTTCTTCATAATAGAGTGTAGTGCCCCATTCACTCTATTCCCCGCATTTACTCGTCGTTCTATATCCCTATCATATCTACCATCCCTGCTAAATACACATCCCAAATACATAAACTCATCCACTTGCTCAATTAACTCTCCTTCTATTCTTATTTCACATACCGTTTTGCTTTCTTCTCTTTCAAAAACCATCACTTTCGTCTTACTTGCGTTCACTTTTTTAATTTATTGTTTATTAATATATTTTTTAATAAACAATAAATTAAGAAAGTGAATTAAAAAAATTTCTTAATTTATTGTTTATTAATATATTTTTTAATAAACAATAAATTAAGAAAGTGAATTAAAAAAAATTTCTTAATTTATTGTTTATTAATATATTTACATTTATAGAAACAAACATTACCTAGTTATTATAGATTTTGTTTTAATACAATTCTAGGTTTGATTTTTTTTTATTAATGTTAATTTCTCGTATACGTTCATTTTGGGTAAATAAATGTAATTTCTTTCAATCTTTCTATTTCACAGTCTTTTGTCAAAGAATACCAGCAGTGTTGTGTTCTTCTTAATGTAGTAGTGGCGTGGCGGAATCGACGCTACGATTTATAACTTTCAAGTAGTGACGTGACGTAGCGGAAATGAAAAATTTTAATAAATTTCCAGGAGTGTGTGTTGACATTGTTTTTTTCCGATAGATCGTATGGAGATGAAGACAGAAAGCGGCACGCAATCCGACTCCGATCCCGATCCTGATCACGACCATGATCAAGATCGCGATCACGATCAAGATAACGACCAGGACGGCGAGCTCGCGCACACACACGAGCACGAGCATGAGCACGAACACGGCGAACACATGGATGCCCTCGACGCCGGACGTCCGCGCAAGGTGACTTGCTGATGTAATAGTATACTGTTGATTTGTCCGAATGCACGTTAAGTTGTTGGTTGGTTCTGCGCCCGATCTCTCTCTGGTCGTGTCGGGTTACCGTCTTATCAGACTATTAGAGTAAGCGAATAGAGTATGCACATGCGCTTGCGCATACACTTGTGCACTATAACCTGTCTTGCGTAGATGGCTAGTCTTCGTTGAGACTGCCGCCGAGACCGGAATTCGGTCTGGTGGACATTAACATTATTAAACTGATGACTTGGAGGCTGTGCCGATTTGCATTCATTCACCATGAGTCCTGGCTTAATGTCTATGATAATAACCCATACACAATAACGAAAATTCTCCTTTAATGGAAATACGAGTATCTTTAGGTATGGAAGAGGCTCTTTTAGCCTCACCAATACGTTGCAACACTGCGCCCCAACCTGGGATGAATCGTGAAGTAGACAACCACAATCAGAAACGAACCAGGGAGGGGAAAAGATAAAGTATGCTGGGCTTTGTAAGCTTAGTGGGGCAGCAAGGAAGAGGTACCGTGTGGGGTGGAAGGCTGATAGCAACTGAGATAGGAGCCTAAGAGCTCTCTTACTCTACCAGAAGCTCTTGGTCAAAATTCCTCTTCCCACATCTCCCCCAGTTCTTAAGGCGAAAAAACGCCTTAGCTGAACTTTACGAAGTTTTCAGACTTCTTCATGTTCAAGAGGCTCTCTCGTCGCAGCGATTTTTTCTTAGTTGACACGCTTGATGCGCGAGTGGACGGGTGCAGTACCACACGTCTCATAATTTGACGCCGGTTCTCCTCATCATTCTGAGAATTTAACGTCTGGTGAAAATGAGATGGACATATTGCTATTATATATCTATGTATGTATAGTCTATGTCTCGATACGAAACACAACAGCAATAAGCTGCTATTTTACGTTGAAATTTTGTGTCAGTTGTTATTGGAGTAGTAGTACTATTATAGCATAATAATATTTGCCATGTAGGGGCAGCGTAAGAATATCTACTACCCTGTATTGTTTAAAGGCGTCGTAAGAGAGGCGACAGAGGGAAATTGAATAACGACTCAAATTTATAAAACACTGCGGTCTCCAGCCAGCGTGGAAACTATCATAATGTCCCTTCTACGAAGCAGTCTATGGTATCCTCCAATGTAGCAGTGGGCTCTTGGTATGCTGTTGTATTGTTATGTATTTTAATTTGTTAAAATTTAGTAGAACAGGAGAGACCCATTTTCAGACTGTTTTATTTTAATGAGCTAATAAAGAAAAAGAATAATAAATTGTAATACATAGTAATATATAAAATTATCTACTCGGCCACTATAATACATTACATAATTTTATATTATAGTATATTATTATGTAAATTATGATATATAATATAGGTACGGTAATATATAATTTTTAACAACAATAAAAAATATGTTTCAAACAACAAACAATCAACTTATCCGTTAATTACAGTAATATAAAAGGTTATAAATATCCCAATCACGTACAACCAGCTCGATCTTAAAATTTTCTTCAATTTGATTCGGGTGATTAAGCAAACGCTTGACATTGGATTGTTTCATGGTTTCGAACAGATTATATTTCTGAGGTTTTCAAGCAGAGAATAATCCGTTGCGATTTTTTAGTGCGTATTGGCGGATTACACTTCTTAATAGAATAAGGGTGGGTGACAAACGAGCACACAGTCCACCTGATAGTAAATGGGTGCTGTAGCGTATAGACATTTACATCTCTCCTTGTCGTTTCCAGTAAAAAGGGTCTCCGATTCTCTACACTCACCATACGGAATACAGCACTATGCTGCTATTTCGTGCTGATATTTTGTGAGAGCGCGGTTCTCGAGGCGACTCATTCGTACTACAACAATAACACAGCTCCAGCATGCCGATTAACTCACGATATTCTCCTTCGTAGCCAAGCATATCACACACATTTGTGTATTTCTGAAGTCAACCAACAGTCGTCTATATCTATGTATGTTCCGATTAAAAGGGTGAGAAGATCTCGTAGTAGTTATGGAAATCTCTAGCATTCTTTGTTTGTAATTATTTGCATGTTTATGAACTGTTGCACAAATATTGGCTCCAATGTATTGACCAATTAAGTCACTCGACCGTAACGTTCAGAAACTGCCAGCAGGTGCGTCGCAGCCGAACCACATTCACCACATACCAGCTGCACGAGCTTGAGCGGGCTTTCGACAAAACGCAGTACCCCGACGTGTTTACGAGGGAGGAACTCGCGTTGCGGCTGGACCTCAGTGAGGCTAGAGTGCAGGTATGTTGAACTTTGAATCACATTTTATTCTTTCATTTGTCCTACACTAGATCTCGTTCCGGTCGTGTCGGTTTGCCGTCCTACCGTGTGGAATCGGTCTAGAGTAGGTATATATTGTTGTTCTTCAAAAGCCCATTAATATTCTGACTCCTGAAACACAGTTTTACTAGGTTGGGGCTAGAGGATCAACGAATTTACGTCTATAGTTAGTGTTAAAAAAATCGAGGGCTCGTATACATTTCTCTCTCTCAGTGAGAGGAATTTACCGAAATTCCAACGCTTGGACAATGTAGTTGAGAACAGGTTTTAAAGTTTCGCACCTTCGAATTTGCTTCGAGTTTCTCGTGCCCACACCGGTTATTAACATCTTTCTGATTTAAAATAATATAATTGTAATTTGTTAGTTTGAGAGGTTCTATTGAAAACCATAAGCAAATTAAATCTTGATAACTCCTAATTACAAGTACCTAATAGGTATGGATTGACTAAATAATGAAAAGGTCTCCTTCACCAAGATTTGCATGGAAGAGATCGCTGTTTAGCGATAAGGCCACCTAATTGTACATAAATTTATAAATGTAAGTTTGCTGTGTAAGAAGAAAGAAACCTCAGAATAAATAAGCGTACTTGATACCACTAAATACATATTACTCAATTCTCAAGCGAACGAAACTTTTTGTTGTAAGTTGCACGTAATTTATTTACAAAATATGTCAAAGATATGACAGTGAAACTCAATCACCATTGATATTACAGATTTACAGATATAACGGTAAAACAAGTTACATGCGTCAATCCTAGAATCTCTGTAGTCGTTTTTAATAAAAAAACTCCGCAGGTAGATATTTTCATTTTGACTATGTATCTTTTTATTTTGACTATCTTTTTATTTTGACTATCCTTTTACGTTTCATAAACACGATATTAAAATCTTGCAGCCTACTGGCCGGCTGTGGTGATTGAGTTATCACGATTTAATTTGTTTACGGTTTTCACTAAAAAATAAATACATTATCACACTTGTAAAATTATAGTACCCCAAACCGAAATTACATAATTTTTAAATTCAAAACTCTGGCTAAGTTCGTACGAGTCTCCAATAGATCTAACTCGTGATGCAGTAGGCCGGCTGTGGTGAAGGTGGCGCCACAATCGAGCGGACACTCCCCACGACGGACGGTAATTAGCATTAGTGGCATTGTGCGGCTCCGCCCGCTGTGTACCTCCCCCCCTCTCCCCCCTCACTCACAACAACAACGATACTTGCTTCGGAAGATTGTGTTTATCATTTTAGGCCATAACGTTCTGTTATTGAAGTAAATTAACCGATTTTGATATTGAATATGAAGGAAGCTGTAAGCTCGTTGCCTGAATGATACTCACAGGCTACTCGAGTAAAAAGACTGGTAAAATGCTTTGAAAAGAGTGACTTTTACGTCATCTGTACATCGAGCAAACATGCGGGCAAGCATATTGCTCCTCACTGCCAGCGCCCTAAGCTCCTTCTCTATATAACAATCATCGCTGAAATCGCTCGAAGGCCACACAAACGTTAAAAAGTAATCTATTCGCAGGCGGTGTTCTTGATTGATCTTTGAATTATTTTTTGGAAACCCTGCAATAAACCAGTCAAAAATTTTGTTGCTACTGTTATGATCATTTTACGACCCACTACCAGGTACACGAATCATTGGTTATTTCTGCCCACTGTTGTGAACAGTGTAATTAATTTACGGAGTAATATAGGTTTCGATATCTCATCAATATGATCTAGATATCGAAACCTATATTATTACTCTCGAGGTTTTCATAGATTCTGTGGCTTCAATGGGGAGCACATATTGATATTTTTTAATCAAAAAAACTTTACCTCTACACTACTTTTCTCTTGTATCGTGGAGGCAGTTTACATACATAAATTGCACATGGACAAACATCCAGTCCCAGAATAATTACTTGTAGGCCATACATAGATACCTGTTCTGTGCGGGATTCGAACCCGCGGCTTTCAGTGCTATAACTCATAGCTAAGCTACTGTGCCGCGAAACCGTCATAGATTGATAAACTTCGAAATTAAGTTCTTCGATTTTCGTTATTAGAATGATTAAAATACTGTCTGATGAAGACACATCTAAAGAGTCTACTTTGTTTTCTTCAACTTTCTTCTTGCCTTCTCTTTGCCTCTCCTCTTATTTATTTGTGCCACCAAGCATCAGTGCCAACACTGCTGCGTGTGACACTGTGACGAGCATCTGCAGCCTTCTTTATTTGTAGTTGGTTGCAGGTGTTCATCGGTTTGCAGTAGCCACTTACTTCCAGTTGTACTTTAAGTTCGATGCGAGCAATCTACTTAGAAACAGACACTACTTTGACAATTACCTTCGTAGTGTTTTTTTTTAAAACATCGTGAATTAAAAAAAACGTTTCCTTGTGTACTCGTAAATTGACACTGAGATATCGAAGTAGTGTTAACGGTTTTAAAGTTTAGATTTGACTTGCTTATAACTGAAATATTAGACATTGAATAATATTTTACAGTAAAATCTCTAAATATATATTGCAGCAAATAGATATATAGTTTAAAAATCTTGTTAAATAACCTGGTGTAAAACAGATAAATTTATTTTTTACTTTTGTCTTGGGAAGCATCAGCAAAAAATTCAGCGGGGATTTATTTATAAAAAGACCTTACAATTATTATATATTACGTATTTATTCTTTTTCATTTATTACAGCGCTTCACAAGTCCACTGCTGAACATAGGCCTCCCCAATGAATGCCACATAGCATGGCCCTGAGCCACCTGCATCCATCGACTTCCTGTATTTCTTACCAGGTCGTAACTCCATCAAGTGGGGCTCCGCCCCACAATTCGCTTACCGGTCCGAGTTCGCCACTCGGAACCTTTCTTCTTCATTGACTGTCGGTTCTTCGAGTTATATGGCTGGCCTAATGACACATCAGCTTACTGATCCGTTGGGCTATGTCTGTTACTCTGATTCTACTGCGGATATCCTCATTTTTAAGTCTATTATACAGACAAATCCCTTTCCATAGTTCGGTGAGTGACCTTGAGCTTCCTTTTATAACGGTCAACAGCAACGGAGCACGTCTCAGATTCATAAGTAATCAGTGGCAACACGCACTGGTTGTACAATCTAGTTTTTAGGTTTTGAGGTATTCCTGAAGAGAAGTTGTATCGTAATTTCCCGAACGATCATATGTATCGATCACCTCATTCCCAGGAGTTTTATTTGCCGTGGTGGTGGCTTAAGAGAATCCGTTACTACATTTGATCCCGTATGACATAAGAGTCGACCAAGGGATGTGCCACAAAGATCCTTTAGCTTACTTTAAGAATTTAGAGATGATAACGCACGTGCATTTTGATTCTTACTCGAGAAAAGATGTGGTTGTCTGTGGGTTACAGCATCCAGTTTAAATAAGGTTGACTGGATACTTTGGATCGTAAGTGAAATGGCCGGATGTAAAATTAGATAAAAACAAAAACCCCACAACTTCTTCAAACAGATATAACTGCCACCACTACATCTAGTAACCGCACAGACCGACGCAAAATTTTTTATTATTTCCATTGTGCGCGCTCTTATGAACTAGTTATGTATAATCGTCATCATTAAGAACTCAGCCTTGACGAGGCGAGGATTACTAAGAATAGCCCGTAATTATAAACGCGCAATGAGGATAGACTTGCATTCTGGAGGAATGCATTGAAGGCGGGGACGTTCGACGCCGCTAATTAGTACTTAACAGAGGTAGTTAGGCGCGGGCACACAATAGACGCTAATTTACGCCTCATTACACCCTCGCTGCTGCACTGATGTTTGCGCTAATCGCCAGCCGGGCTCTGCTGCTTTACGCGATTACTTACTCCGATTATTTCATGTTGTGTCAATTATTTTAGGCCTCACATTTTAGCTTTGGGTTAAAATAATGATATTTTTTATGGATTAAGGGTGACAAACGAGCACACAGTCCACCTGATGGGTGTGTCTTTTAAAGGCCTTTTTGGTTTGCTTCGTTGGTAAACGTGACTGCTGGTCATGATATCCCGGTCCTCATGATCAGGGTGAAGCCAAAAACTCACTAACTGAGTTCTGTCAAGATATTCTAAGTAGCAGTCGGACATCAGAAAGTTGGTGGTATTTCACCCTTGTGATTCGGAAAGTACGTAAAGCCTTTGGTCCGCGCTTGACCTCTCTCTGGTCGTGTTGGATTGCCGTCCCATCAGACTATAGGAGTGATGAAATGGAATGTACACCTGTACCATCACAACCACACACTGGTGCACTATAATCCTGTCCTGCAGAGACGGCTAGTTTCCGTTGAGATCGGCCGCCGTGACTGAAATTTGGTCTGGAAATCTTTAAGGTCAACCGATGAAGCGGCAGCTAATGCAGATGCAGTGATGAACAGATAAGACGTGCAAGAAATCGATGCATGCTAGTTCATCAGTAGGGAAATTGTGTAACTCTAATGGGAATGGTGATGGATCTTGTTTTGGCGTTCAATATTTAGTTTCATTGTATTGTATAAATGTGTAAGCAGATATGTGTTGGATTATATTTATACTACTAGTCAACATAAAGTCTCATTCTCTAAACACGCATTCTAACACACTTTTTAGTACAGTTAACACAGCGAATTGCTTTTACCCCATAAATATATTCCTATAGGATGTACACATATGGACTATAATGAAGAAACTGCAAATTTTTATAGTATAGAAGTAAGGGTAGAACGAACTCACAATCCAACTGATGGTAAGTGAAGGCAAGTCTATTCTCGACTAAGTATCAAATTGTAGATGAGTTGTCACTCCTGACAACTAAAATGGAATGCTTCATTACTAGGGAAAAGGTTCTCCGCACGCAGATGCATTAAGCTGCTCTTTTGCGCTTGTTTTCTGCTTAACCACAACCTTACGCTCGAATGAGGCGCCACCACGTGTTTAATTGTGAATAGATTCCTACCTGCA